TGAATCTATTGAGAGTGACAGTATGCTTTGCGATGATGAGGAATTCGATGATTATCCAGATGTTGATGAAAATCAGTGTTTAATATGTGGAGAGTTGCCTCTGAAATCTGAAACCTGGTATAGGTGCACTATATGTTCGAATTGGGCGCACGCTCTTTGCAGTGGATATGACTCACCAGAAAAGTACATTTGTGATTAGAATACCTTTTATTTTTTCAAAGAATTCAATGTTTTTAGTTCCTCTTTTCAATTATTTTTTAAGCATATTTGTATATGTAACTGTTTCAGAATTAAAGCATTAGTTTTGCACATTAGTATCTGTGGGTTTTTTTATTAATATACAAGAAAAAAATATTCAAGGTGCAAAGCGCACATTTACCCGGTGACGCGCCAATTCACCCGCTATAATGCGTCTAATCACCCCTTACATGTACGTTAACTGTGCGCAGTGTAGACATTTTTAAAAAATATTATAGGATATTAATTTTGTTTAAATGATTTGTTTAATATAGGCCATAATGTAGGGCATATTTTGAACTATTTACTAAGCCTCTCGGTAATTGCCCTTTACAGAAGTTGTTCTCGTTTCAAAACAATTTTTAGCGACAAACGATTGAGCATCAGAATTCTTGTCTAGTGAACGGCGAAATCCTGGAGACTCCATAGCTGGCTGGTGATACCACCGAGATAAATCTCTGGCGAATCGCTGGCGATCGACTATGCATACGGGTGTAAAAGTACTGCTCCATGTATTGATAATCTCACTTATAAAATTTTATAATGCCAAACACGGCTAAACTTTTCCTACTATCTATTTATAATAGCTGGTGGATTAATAATGATTATTCGGATAAACTAATTGCCAGATTCATTAATTCCGACCTATTTCATTAATTTCCTGTATCACAAAGACATTCGAAAGAATGATCAAAAATAGATTAGAATTTTTTGTTGAAAGTACCTAATTCAATGGCACCTGAGTCTCAGTACGGATTTCGCAAAGGACAGGGAACGATAGACGCGGTAACGCAACTTATCTATGATATACAATTAAGTTTTTCAAAAAACGAAAATCTACTAAGTATATTTAATGATCTTAAAGTGGCTTACGATGTAGTTGATCTCAACATTTTATTTTCGAGGATGGTTAGAATGGGTATCAACTCTAAAGTGTGCGCTAACACCCTAGAACTTTTCAGAAATAGAGAACTATTTATAAGAGATCAGAACAATATTTTACATCGTACAAGAACAGTAAATAAACGGTCTACCGCAAGGATCTATTCTTAGTCCTTTATTTTTTAATATATATATATAAGGCAGATTTACGTGATAGGCTTGATGAAAATATTCGAATTATTCAATACGCGGATGATATTTGTTGCTACATCTCCCATAGTACCTATGAGCGATGCGTAAGAGATATGATGTATCAAAGTTTGGTGAAATGAATTAGGTTTTAGTGTTGCTTCGGAAAAATCGGCATACTTGTGCTTCACAAGATACCTTCATCTGGCGGACTCTATTATCATCAACAATACATCTTTACTTATTGTAAATGAATACAAATACCTTGGCATTGTTCTTGATAAGAAATTGCTTTGGTCCAGCAATATTAAATATATAAAAGGAAAGTGTAACAAAGGGTTGAAGTGACTAAAACAAAGTGGATGGCTGATATAAACACTTTCCTTTTATTTTACAAATCTTATATACGCTCACACAGGTATACTTTATTTGGTATGGCTTCAAATACCAATTTATTAATTCTGGACAGAGTTCAAATTAAATCAGTACTTATTTGTTTAGGTACAATAAAAACATTACCTTGACATGTAAATATTGTCACAAGCTCAGGAACCGCCGTTAAATATAAGATGAACGTATTTCGCCAAAAAATTATTAAATACAGAAAATTTAATATTGTAACGATTGTTTAATTGAAAAATAGTTTATTTATTAAAAACAGTTTATTTATAATTAATTTATTTAATACTTAGGCACTATTATAACTCATAATTCTAATGTATTTATTACAATTTATCTATCCTATATAAGACTTATATTTAAAAAAATAAATAATTATATACGAAAAGCCTATTTATATTAGAAATGTTACATTCCAAACAACTCGTTGCGTCGGTGATCTTTAGACGGTTGGAGACAAAGCGAAAACCTTTGCTTTATGATTTTTCTGAAATTCTCTCGGATATATCGATGTAGACTGGGCGTCGCTCTATGGAGCAGGACCGGTCTCGCACGACATTGCCCCCTCCTTAAAAAATAGTTCCTCTTGGAACTAAAACTGATTGGTTTTATCTGTAACTGGACCCACTTTTACAATTTCAAATGGAAATAACAAAGGACGTTTTTTGCTGAAATCTAAACACTAGGCGAATAGCTGTAGACTAGTATCCAGATCTCGGTATCTTGGAAGATTACTTCCACCATGTTTCTAACGATCTTCTAATTCAGCTGGTTGCTCTCTATCTTAGGCATGGCTAGTTTATGTACATTGTGTACTGCCAGGGACCTGGCAACATCGCGGATCTTGGTGCGGTATTTAGATCCGATGAAGCATGTGACAAATGACAGACTGGTGCCAGACTTTGTCGCCTTTCTTAAAACATCTTTCCATTTTACGTCGTAGTTGGATCACATAATCTTCACCAGCTAGTCTTCTCTAGGTCAGCATTCAAACTCGAGGTCACACGGTAATCTCATCTCATGCCTGAACAGCACCTTTGCTGGTGTTTGGCCTATAGATTCATTGACAGCGGATCTATATGCCATTGCGAAAAGCGAAAGATACTCATCCCAATCTCGCTGATGGATGGAAACTACTTTTGACAGGTATTTGCCAGTGGTCTTATTCATTCGCTCTACCATTCTATCGACTGTGGGTGCAATGCCGTAGTTCTGGTTTACTTCATGCCTAGTGTGTCATAGATTCCTCGGAAAAGCTGGCTTTTAAAATTTCTGCCTTGGTCACTGTTGATCTCCAAAGGCACTCCAAATCTACTGATGAATTATTTCTGCAACAGTTGCGGTCTCTTGATTTGGAATGACGTAAACTTCCACCCACTTCATGAAATATTCCATGAGCACCGTCATGTCTTTATTACCACCCTCGGTCATGAGGAATGATCCAGAAATATATAAGGCAATCCTCTTAAATGGGCTACCGACGTTGTACTACTTTATGGGGCATTCATTTTTCGTTGAGGTCAATTACTCATGGCACAGGTGGTACATTTCTTACATCAGTACTTTACATCATCGGAACTGTTCATCCAATAAAACCTTCCACGAACTGTCTGAAGGGTTTTCTTAACACCGAGATATCCTCCTGATGGACTGTCGTGTAACTGGCGAAATACTTCAACTACTCTAGCCTTTGGAATGACCAACACTCTTCTATTGTCGAAACCATCATCAATCTCTAGTACTTGCTTTAATAAGCCTTCTTCCAAAATAAAAGAGTCCCACTGAGCCAAAAATGACTTAAACTACTGAAGAGAGAGATTTGATACTTCTTGCCAAGTAGGTTGACGATTTTCTTCTCTAAAACGGGATCGTTCTCTTGTTCTTTCCTAAGTTTGGCAGATGCCCACTCATCGTTGACTACAGTTGTTCTTAGTTATAGAATCGGCATTTATGTGACTTATTACGGCTCTATGTTCGATCTTAAAGTCATACTCTTAAAGTCGTTCAGTCCATCTGGCAATGTGTCCCTCTGGGTTTTTGAACTGCATCAACCACTTAAGAGTTACATGGTTGGTACGGATTAAGACACTTTCATCGCGACATTTCAAAGAGGCTATCAGTATGACAGGGTCTTACTGAAATTTATCGTATATATAAATGTCAATTATTTGTTTCATTGAATTGTACACTAAATGTAGAAATGTTAATCTTAATAAAGTCTCTGTTTACTAGTAAGAACCTACTTAATTAATATGTGTTCCCGTACAGTTTTACATTTATTACTTCTTCTCAGTATGTATTAATATTTGACCCCCAGTTATTAAACCTTTTTCTTTGTAAATCACCCTATAGGTAAATAGTAATGTAAACAGCCAAAGCAGAACTGTTTAAATTTTACAATTTATGTGGGTATTTAAATATCAATTTAATTGTTTTTAGGGTGCAACTGATCCTACCTATTTAAAAAGTGGTCCATATTTTCATTACTTTCAAAAGGCCGTCAAATAGTCTTTTTTATTAAATCAAAAATCCATACAGTAATGTCAATACAATACTGGATAAACAAACACTGTCTATCTGCTCTCACTCAATACGGCGATGACACAGCCAAGCCTGGTGAAAAACCAATTAGAACATAAGTTGAGCAAAATTACAGACTTACGAATGGATATCTCAGTCCACGTTCAGCGGCATTTATTACGGGCTATCGTGTGCTCTACAAATAGAAATTTGAGAAATGCTTAATTCAGCTAAAATTAAGCTGTACAACATTAATCTGACCTAAACGTGTTTGTACAACGATGCCAGGCATAAAATATTTATGTCATTCTAGCTCCGAATATATTTGTTCGAAAGATACTATGCGCTAAATGTACCCAGTCGTTTAGTTGTAATGGAATTGCATGCATCACTTTTTTGCAGTTTGACACCTGTGTTTTCTAAGTCTGAAAGTCGGCAGAATTTACTTAGCGTAAGGCGCTAGAAATCATCCTTTGTTGTTAAGTCAGTTATAAAATTCAAAAAATCTTCATGGATGTTACCGGGTACCTGCAGGACATTGATCGCATACGGGTTTTTTAAACGTCCGAGAAGCAGACATATTTGTACATATTTTTTTAGAATTATTTCAGCTGATGTATTTTTTGATGTAATTGTAATCATAACATGATATGACTAAATTGACTGTTAATATTCAAAAACTTCACGTATTTTATTTCTAACAAATGTTACTTGAAATTGATTTTCTCAAAGAAAACCTAGTTTTGGTAATAATTATTAAATTTATATTTCAGGTATAATGGCCACATTTTTAAATATTAATGAGTTAATGGATATAATGACCATTGGTGCTTTTTTCTCATACATTATTGTTGCTGCTTCAGTTTTAATTCTAAGGTACCCAAGAAAATATATTTATTTTCTTTATAAAATATTATTATTTGTTTTCTAATATAAATGTTTGTAGTCTTAAACCATTGGTCTTAAACAATACGCGTATTCTCAGTGATCTGATAAAACAATAAATTAAATAGACATGGCCGTTTTTAGTAATTATCATTTCTGTCAAGTAGGTCAGTGCATTGTTTTGGGGTTACTACTTTAGCAGTATTCATTTTTAGTCACAGGGATGGGTACAAGAATTGCTGATGAATACAATTTTAAAATAATTTGAAATATATTAAAAACTCAATACTAATTTTGAATATTAGGTCCAACATTACAATTTTATTAGTTTAGTATTCAAATAAGACGAATGTGATTTTAATATTATATTAAAATAAAAAGAAGTGAATAATTTTATTGTATCGAATTTTACATCTAATTTTAGTATATTTTTAGGTATGAACATAAGGAAGTAGGTTTTGAAGTTATTCCAAATGATGAAATTCCTGTACGTGAAATAGGATACGTCCAAAGTATTTTTACTCTTACGACAAGCAAGTTGCCGAATAGAACTACATCAATTATAGCAAATATTAGCATTCTATTCTTCAGTAAGTACATTGTACAAACTATTTCTAGATTTTTTGGAATCAACCAATTATAAAGTGATTCCACATTAAAATTTGCTAAGCGTAATTCAAGTTGGGCCTATTTTGAGATTTAACCACATATTATAATACAAAATATCTTTATTCCCAATACATTAGCTTAGTTTTAATTGAGAAAAGTTTAATTTAAAATTACATACATCATTTTAGTTTTAAAAGTTAAACGAATTAACTTCAAAATTATTGTCTTTAAATTATTAATCACCCTGTATACTATAACACCCTATATAGCCACTTCACAAAACACGTGTTAACATGGCTTTATAATGTTTTATTAAAAATCTCTTAAATACTGTTTAAAATTTAATTAAATTAGGAACAAAATAAATAATGTATTTAACGGGCACTTAAATACCTACTTGCTTGCATTTGGCTTATCGAAATCCAAGTACCTCCTCTCGCGTCTAGACTTATGGTATCCAGATTTGAGGCTGTGCTAGTAAAAATAATATTTAACGTTTCCGGAATAAAGTATTAAAGAACATCGTCGATACACCCTGGTACTGGCGCAATACTGATTTTTATAGGGTCATTAAACTAGTAAAATGCAATAGAAAAAATTTGCTAAAGTCTATTCAAATTTAATTTACGCCTGATGTAAACAGAAGCAGGTGGACGCTAAAATTGAGCAGGGACGGATTTTACTTTTCTGTCTTGCAAAAATGTAAAATAAAAGAGTGTAATTGTGAAATTATTTTTTATTACAATAAAAACATATTTTGTAAAGTAAAACTATAAAATAAATCCCAGACTTTAGTGACATTTCTGGACGAAGATAGGTGAGCGACATAAACTGCGTTAACCTGCAATACAAATTAATAAATGTATTTGACTTTAAAAGAGATGGTTGCATTATATTTAGTTCATTACATATGTCTACTGTGATACAGAGCATTAAAACAATCATATTATAAAATTATATTGTACAGGGTGTCCAAAGAATTGCAAATTCTTTAATAGCTAATATATATCTACTAAAAGCATTAAAAAAACTTTAAATATAAGAGGTATTTGGTATTTGAATTTGGTATTTGATTTAAAATTGTTCATCTTAAAAAGAAACCTTCTGTATTTTTGATAACTTTTGTTCTTTATTGTTCTTGTTCTACTAGTATTTAGATTAGACAACTTGTACCCTGTATTATAGCAATCTTCCTTACTTGACTTAGCACTATTCTGAATCGGATAAATTAGTTAAACTTGAAAGGCTATCTTCATTAATCAAAATTCAAAGTGGTTCTACCTGAACCTCTATAATATTATCCAACTCCCATATTTTTACTTCAACTTTTTGGCGAACATGGTCGATACACTTTTTCCATTTTTCTGGAAAAATTAATAATATTATTTCTTCAAAAAGAATTTTAATGTCTCCAGATTTAAATGTTGAGTTTTTATCTGCTACGTATTGTTTAACGTCAACCTAGATTAATTCAATAGGGTTAAGTTCACAACGATACGGAAACATGTGAAGTATTATGTTGTTTTGCTGCTTAGCCATTTCATCTATTACATACCTATCATAATGTTTATGTTGCTTACCAAGTTTTAGAAGTTGGATCATTTGGTAGTCGAATTTAAGTTTTTTCCCTTATAGCCATTTTTAAATATCACCTTTTTTAGACGTCGTAGATATTTTTTCCAGCTTTCTCGAATAATAATGCAGTTATCTTCTAATTTTGGTAGGGTTTTGAAAACCACTCTTTGAACGATTCTCCACACATTTCTTCGTGGTAGTCACCGGATTTTTCAACTCAAATACATAAAGTGCATTAGAGACAAAGCCTTCTTTACTTCCAATATGGCATATAATGAGCTGTTTTTACGCACATACCTGATGGGTTTTTAAAATCAGTTAAAAGTTCATCCAAAAAGGCTTGTCTGGATGAAAAAACCGACATATCCAAACATACTTTTGATTTGGTGTGGCCTGCGTTAATCCAAGTCTCATCAAGATAATATATTTTTTGCTTTTCTTCTCTGTACCGTTTTATTTTTTGTGGCGTAGGACGAAACAATTTCATTTTTGCCTAAAAGCAAACTATTTTTTCCTCGAGTTTTAAATTTAAAATTAAGGATTTTGAAAAGCTTGTAAAATGTAGCTCGCTTAAAAGTAGACAAATATGGATCATCGTTGACTTCTTATAAAACCTTATCAATTGTTGGAAGTTAATTTCTAAAGAAAAATTGATGTACTTTGCGCCTTATTGCATTTTTATCAAAATCATCCACGGAGCCACTAATTTGTTTATAACGTAGCTTTCTTTTTGGTTCAGAAAATTTATGAATCTGCCTATACTCCTTCATAACATTAAAAACGGTTTAAGCGCACATCCCTGTTTTATCAGCAACTCTCCTTTCAACATCATGTACCAACATATCAGGGTTCTATAAAATTTAAGGCTTATAAATATTAAGAACCATTTCTTTAGTACGGATGACCAAATGTCCCTTTTTCAGTCGCTTTTTAGAATGAGTAAAAACATTTTTCTGGACTTCATCTGCTGTATCTGTGGAGGACATAGTGTCATGCAGCAATTACAAAATATAGTCAATTAAATGTCCATAAAATAGAGTAAAACATGTTCAAACTAACAACAACCACAAAAACAAAAAAAAACAAAAATAAATAACACAATATGTGTATATCTAAACTATAATATAATGAATTATAATCAATCAAACATACGAAATGTCCAAACCAACCAACACGGTGAATGCTACCAAAACGCCGTTTATAATTATCTAAATTGAACTGAATTCGACTCTGACAAAAAATATTTGCGCGTCGTCTAAATGACTAACGACCGATTAACCAATAGAAGCGCAAAAAAATGTCACGTGAGCTGTTGCTGGATGGGAGAAATTGTTTTGACGTGGCGTAAATGAAATCTGAATAGACTTTAGTAGTCACCAACAACGACTGCTCCAACATGGGAACGTTGAGGTTATCGAGTTCATCAACAGTGTCAATTTAATAAGAAGACTCGAACGAATAAAGCCTTTTTTTATTTAATTCAAAGATGTTCGATAAAAGCAGATTATAGTGTGGTTTTATGTTATACGTTAATTTAGAGTATTTAAATAATTAGACTCTTAAATACACTAGTGAGTAGAACCCTAGTTTATAAAGTTTTTTAACCCTAGATTAGTTAGAATTTAAATTTCATAGCACATTCTCAAATGTAAACATAACATTCTCTAAACCGACCCTGTTTAACCCATTTGTGTTGACACCCACGCATTCAAGAAATTCACATTTTCTATCTTACAAATAACAATCTCAGCTTGCTTAAGATACAGTACAAACTAAATATATTTTCTGCAAGACGTGATGAATGTCCCGTAGGCACCAGAACGACTAATTTCAAACTGCATTCCACTATATTCTATCTCTTGCATCGCAAAATTTCTCTTTTCCATTTAAAAGAATTAAAAAATAATTTTTAGAAAAAAATCCACTTGGTGATTTATTGATTACTAGTTAGACACGTCCTCCACACACAAGAACTGGAAAGTTCCTTCTGAATTATCTACAACGATACAATTATTTTTCTTGAACACACCAGTTCTAAGCTTCGATGAATTAAGATGCCACAGGGTTGGCGTAGATCTTGTTACACACACTCACTCCAACGTTAAACCTTCAACAGTCAATATGTCGCGGAGTTGCATACAATTCACTTTCAAACTTCACAGACACTTTGTTATTATCCCCAAAACGAGTCACTTCTCTTAATCGTAAAGATGTAAACACAGTGAGATTTACTTGTCGGTAGGCAATACTACATACGAATCATAAATATGTTAATAATTTGTGCACTCAGTTTTGTTGTCGAATAAATAAACATTATGCCGTTCGTCAGTGTACAGTTTCACCTTAACTGCAGATTTAATCTTAATGATCAGATTTTAATAATCGTAAATGCTTCAAGGGGGAATTTGGAGGGGTATTTATTTAAAAAAAAATTAACTGATGTAGTGTTAATTGGTTACATTTGACCTCCAATGTTGCATCTCAGTTAAGCTTAACTTCCACTAAAAATAAGTTACAACCTTGTTCGTCGATGAAGGTGTTAACAATATTCATTAGAATTATTTAAATTTTATTTTAGAATTTTGTTTTGCATTCATTAATTATTTTTAATAATAATATTACTAATAATTCCTATTTAATTTTTTTTTCTTTCTTTCTAGTAATCGTTGCAGCCGTCTTCTGCATTATATGCGAAAATGAGTCGTTCTTTTCTTCACATAAAATGTACTACATTAATTGTTCTATTACTCTCATTGTTATGGTTATCATATCGCTTATTATATTTAGACAACCAGAAACTGATGGAAAAATAGCATTTAAGGTAAGCTTTAGTATTATATTGCAATAATTATTATAGATAAGTGTAATTTACAAGCTGAGATTCATATGGAATTTTTCATACTGTCATGAATTCACCGCTGATTCACTCGAAGTATCTGGAATGGCGGGGGAGTCTCTAGCATTTTCCAGTAGCGGAGTTAGACTAATATAAATAGACGACGTATCAGCGCAGAGTTTAGTTTAATATAGAACGTTGCATTGAAAAGTAAAAGTGTAAGAAATAAATTATAATTGTTAGTTAGTGTTCAAATATTATATAAATTAAATAGTACGTCTGAAATAAATTTTAAATAGTGTGTTTTTAAATAAATAAATTTTAAATAAATTAGGCTTTCGTCACATTGGTGTTAGAAGTGGAACTATAAATAAATAGTGGACAATAATGGCTAAAAGACTGTGTGATTTAAAAGTGCCTGAGCTACGTCGAGAATTAGAAGAACATGAACTGGAGACGGCAGGGAAGAAATCAGAGCTGGCAGAACGATTTAAAAAAGCACTAGAAAATGAAGGTTTGGATCCGGAAACGTTTTTATTTTCGGATGATGCATCTGCTATAATTTATTCAATTTCTTCCGATATGGAAAGTAAAATGTCTTCTATGAAAACCGATATTTCTTCTAATATTTCCTCATTAGAAACTAAAGTTTCTTCCATGGAAAGTAAAGTTTCTTCTGACATTACTTCCTTAGAAAGTAAAGTTTCGTCTGACATGTCTTCTTTAAAAGCCGAAATTTCTTTCGACTTGGAAACCAAAATGTCTTCTATGGAAAATAAATTTTCGTCCAATATTTCTTCCTTCGAATAATCCGAAATGTCTTCTTTAAAAGATGAAATCTCTTCTGATATGACTTCCATGAAAAACCAAATTTCTGCTGATGTGGAAAATAAGATGACTTCCGTTGAGGAGAAAATAATGTCTTCCGTTGAAGAGAAAATAAAAGAGATGGAAAAGAAGATAGAAGAACTGGAACATTCAGACCCGACCAAGGACGGTGAAATAAAGTGTCATGAGGTGGAGTCGAAGTTGAAATTGGAAGGGGCTGTAAATTCTGCTCGTGTTAAAGCCCCAACTTTCGACGGGAAAATGTCATGGACCAACTGCCTTAAGCAGTTCGAAACAGCTGCCAGAGCAAACAAGTGGTCTGAACGAGAGAAGGCAATAAATTTGACCATCGCTCTTCGAGGAGACGTTTTGCATGTCCTTCAGACTATACCCGTGGAAGAGAGAGATGATTTTGAACAACTTAACATGCGATATGACCAAGAACATTTGGAGCATCTATAACCAGTCACAGTTAAAGAATCGCAAACAGAGACGAGACCCTTCAAGAATATGAAGTAGATATTGCCAGATTGGTGCGATTTGCCTACCCATCAGCTCCGGAAAACATGATGGAATGTTTAGCAGTCCAAACATTTGTTGATGGACTCCGTGACCACGAGATGCAGAAAACACTCCGCTTAGCCCGCCACAAAACATTGGTCGATGTCTTGTCTACTGCAGCTACGCAGGCTTCTGGAGGATACAGTAAAGTGAGAACTGTAAAAGAAGAAAACGTAGAAGATAAACTCGACCAACTAGTTAACATAATGAAGACCTTTACTGATAAAAAGATGAAGACAAAGACCATCAGATGCTGGAATTGTGGTGAACTGGGGCATGTACGCAGTTCGTGCAAAAGCCCTAGGGTCCCAACAACTGAAGACAACACGCCGCAGGAAAACTCCAAAGACCCTCTCGTACTGATAGCCTCTTTGAATGTCGCGATGATAGTGTATACGTAGACGGCGAAGTAAATGGTAAAAAGTATACACTGTTGGTGGATACTGGAGCAACTAGAACTATTATACGACCAACAACCATAAAGAACTGTAAGAGACTTCTACCAACAAGATTGCGACTGCGGACTGCCACAGGTGAAAGTGCCAACATCCATAAGGAAATCCAGGTTCAATTGGGAATTGGTACAGAAAAGTTCACTTATACTGTTATTGTCGCTGATATCGAAGAAGATGTGATTCTTGGAATGGATGTAATGAACTTACATGGTTTCCAGTTGGACTTTAAAAACAGAGTGATCAAAGTTGGTGCCGAAGAGGTATTTCTACATCCATATGGGGACAGTACCGTGCCAGTTGCTGTACAGGAGGATACGGTGGTACCTGGCAGAAGTGAAACCGTTATAGTAGCACGGCTTCAAGAAACTATGGAAGAAGGAACACCTATAATGATGGAACCTTGGAACCACGATGAAGAGGTTGAACGAGGCATTCTGATCAGAAAGGGGTTGGTCACGACTGCTAAAGAAATTCCAGTTCGCCTCATAAACGTTAATTATCACCCGATTACCATCAAGAAAGAGAGCAGAATCGGAACTTGTGTACCAGTAACCAACTTCTGATAATTCCAACGACAAATTCGAGCAAATAATTGCAGTTGCTGATCAATCTTTGAATCAATCAGAGAAGAAGAAAATAAAGGAATTTCTTCGACGATATCGTAACATTTTTGTACCAAAAGGAGGAAAAACAGGAAGAACTTCTGTTGTAAAACACAAAATTGACACTGGTGACGCCAGGCCGATTCGTCAATCAGCTCGAAGGTTACCAAAGACCAAGAGAGAGGAAGCTGAAAGAATTGTTCAGGAAATGAAGGAAGGTGATAGAACCTTCTACCAGCCCATGGGTCTCTCCGGTAGTCCTGGTCCAGAAAAAGAATGGAACTACGAGGTTCTGTGTGGATTACCGTCAGTTGAACAATGTTACCAAGAAAGACAGTTACCCTCTGCCTCGTATCGACGATACCTTGGACACATTGGCCGGAAGTAAACTATTCTCTACCTTAGACTTGAAATCTGGATACTGGCAGGTGGAAATGGACCCAGTAGACAAAGAAAAGACTGCTTTTACCACCGCATCTGGATTGTGGTAATTCAGTGTTATGCCGTTTGGATTATGTAATGCCCCCGCGACATTTGAAAGACTTATGGAAAATGTATTGAGAGGGTTATCCTAGAAAACATGCCTGGTGTATTTAGACGACATCATAGTCTTGGGGAAGACATTTGATGAACATCTAAAAACTTAGAAAGATGTTTTTAAAAGACTTCAAGCTGCCCAACTGATGCTAAACCCCAAGAAGTGCCAGCTATTTCAAAATAAAGTTAATTACCTGGGTCATGTAGTCAGCAAGGATGGCGTGGCTGCAGACAAGGAAAAAGTCGCTTCTATCAAAGAGTGGCCACAACCGAAAGATAAACACCAAATAAGAAGTTTTCTTTGGCCTTGTACGTACTACCGAAGATTCATAAAGAAGTTTGCAGATATTGCTAAACCACTAACGCGACTCACAGAAGAAGCAAGAGATTTCTGCTGGGACGAGGACTGCCAAACTGCCTTCGAAACTTTAAAGAAGCATTTAACAACAGCGCCAATATTAGGCTACCCATTACCAGAGGGAGAATTTATATTGGATACTGATGCCAGTAATGTGGGAATTGGAGGAGTGCTTTCACAGATTCAAGGGGGAAAAGAAAGAGTACTGGGTTATTTTAGTAAAGTGCTCTCGAAACCAGTATCTATATCGAAGGAAATTCTTAATCCGTACCGATCATGCTGCTCTTAAGTAGTTGATGCAGTTCAAAAATCTAGAGGGTCAAATCACCAGATGGATTGAGCGACTTCAGGAGTACGACTATAAGATCGAACATAGAGCCGGAATTAGCTACAGAAATGCCGATTCTCTTTCTAGAAGACCGTGTCCAGTAGAGTGCTCCCACTGCAACAAAGCGGAATCCAAAGAAAGTGGACTACTAAGAACAACGGTAGTCAACGATGAGTGGACCCCTGCTAAAATTAGGGAAGAACAAGAGAACGATACCGTCCTAAAGAAGATACGACAATGGAAAGAGGAAAATCGTCGACCTACTTGGCAAGAAGTATCTAATCTCTCTCCAGTACTTAAGTCGTATTTGGCTCAGTGGGACTCCTTTATCCTGGAAGATGGCTTATTAAAGCGAGTACTTGAAAATAATGATGGTTCCGAGAACAGAAGACAGTTGGTCGTTCCAAGGAGTAGAGTAGCCAAGGTACTTCGTCAGTTACACGACGGTCCATCAGGAGGACATCTCGGTGTTAGGAAAACCCTTCAGAGAGTTCGGGAAATGTTTTATTGGATGAATAGTTCCGATGATGTAAAGGACTGGTGTAAGAAATGTACCAGCTGTGCTATGAGTAATGGACCTCAGCTAAAAAGGAAAGCTCCCATGAAGCAATACAACGTTGGTAGCCCATTTGAGAGGACCGCCTTAGATATTGCTGGACCATTCCCTATGACCGAAAATGGTAATAAATACATGATGGTGGGAATGGATTACTTCACGAAGTAGGTGGAAGTCTACGCCATTCCAAATCAAGAGGCCGCAACTGTTGCAGATGTGTTGATAAGAGAGTTTATCTGTCGATTTGGAGTACCCTTGGAGATCCACAGTGACCAAGGCAAAAATTTTGAAAGCCAACTCTTCCGTGGAATCTGTGACAGGCTAGGCATGAAGAAAACCCGAACCACAGCATTGCACCCACAATCTGATGGAATGGTAGAGCGAATGAATAAGACCATTGGAAAATATCTGTCAAAAGTGGTTTCAAACCATCAGCGAGATTGGGATCAGTATCTTTCGGTCTTTGCAATGGCTTATAGATCCGCTGTCAATGAATCAACAGGCCAAACACCAGCAAAGGTCCTGGTTGGGCGTGAGATGAGACTACCGTGCGACCTTTAGTTTGGATGCCGACCTGGAGAAGATGTAGCTGGTGAAGACTATGTGATCCAGTTACGAAGAAGAATGGACGATATGCATGAATTGGTCCGCTCGCATCTTCAAATCGTCAGCGACAGAATGAAGAAGCGATATGATACCCAAGCCATGGAGGGAGGTTTAAAGGAAGGCGACAAAGTCTGGTTCCATAACCCGAAAAGAC